TACGCGTTATTTTGCATTCGTCAACAGAACATCGCAAAACAGAATTGACTTTTGGGTGATTTTCTCAGGCGTACGCATGCGCATAAGCGCTTTGAAACTAACATTTTTAGTGTGAGGCATACACAGCTACGTGATTGGCTCAAAATGTGGGAAATAAAAAACGAGAAAAAATATCGAGCGGGTCATATGACAAGTCTGTAAAGACAATGTCAACATGAAGACAGAAACTGACATGACAGCTGTGCGCGTGTAAACGTAGGTCGTGCGTCGTCATTGTATATGTGTCATCTCCTGCTGTTTGTGTCAGCATATACTAGCTGAAGTACGCGCAATCTGGCCCCTAAAAAGATAATTGTGACCTATTAACACCAATAAGATCCACCTCAATCGAAAAAAGCCACCCGAGTGATAAGGAGTATAGATTTCGCTCGTCTAGGTTCATAGGGGATGCTTTAACTATCATTGCACGCTTAATCAGTAAATCGGTCGCTAGTAACTTCATCACGAGAGCAATTAGCGTTGCTATCTCCAAGGCTTTTGAAAATGTGTGACATAGAGAATTGCTACACAAACTCTCCAGTTATGGTAGCACATGAGATCAGTTCAGGCACCTACAGAACTCTTTAGCTGATCGGAACCCTTACTGCTTTATAATTTAAAGCAGGAAGGGTTCCACCTAGGTACATCATCAGAATGTTATTATTTATGATTAAACCATAATTTACCAAAATATTCAGGTGATCAAAGCCTGGTAGCAGATATCTTCTCTGATCAATATTTAATTTTTTACAGCTTATCAACCTTTTTGCAGGTTATTTAAAGCCAGAAAACATATTTATATTGTAAGGATGTATTGGAGATAATAATGATTTCCTGATACAAGTCATACTAATTAACCCATAATTAGGGGAGAAGAGGTGGAGTGATACCTTTCCTATTTGCGCGTAAGTGAATATAACGATCCCAACTGGAATTGAAGCTCCGCTCCCCGATTTCCAATCCCGTTATAGCTGCCGCACACCCGAGCTTACAGTACATCACCTTGTATTTCCAAGCGATCACTCATCTATGGACTGATCAGGCTCGACGTTGCTTAACTTCGGTGATCGTACGAGCTTAATGATGGAAAGACTCATTTGTAAATATTGTGGTGTGTTCCCTCTAATGAGGCTATTGTGGACTCTTTCACTTACTATAAAGTTAGTCGGAAAAGTAAGCTTCGGGGAAACAGTGATATAGACTGTTCTATCGAGGCTGTGACTGTTTGTAGCTCCTGTCGAACTCTCTGCCTTGGACAGAGAGGAACCCGGACGAGGCTGTGCCGAAGGGCAGTTTTGTCCGGGGAGGTAGACAGACCCGAACACGTTTATGCAGATTCTACCGGGATTTTTTTGACGAGCCTATGGGCTCGGATGACCCACATTAAACTCGGTCTTATGTCACATGTACTCTCGTGGGGGGCTACTAAATATAACAATGATATAGACTGAACGCTGGTCAACCGACACACACTCCCAAGTCGTGTAAGACACTTCTGTTGTATTTACTGTTCTATATACAATTTATCTGTTACCTCTTGTTTTGCTATTTCTTAACCATTTACTTGGTCACAACAGTAAACCAAGGGAGTAACATTTCATCATTATCGAGCAGACCCCGAAGTTATTCCAGTCATTATGGATGTCAGCGCTCTCAATGGGGCTTGTCGTTTTGAACGTTTGTTTGGACACAAGTGTGACTCACGTGAACTATCCATTTCTGAAGTGTTTTACAAAGTAAAAACCATAACCCTGGCGAAAAAAGTTGTCATTTTACTTACATTTGAAATACGGGGGAAATAAAGTTGATTTGACTTCGTGGAAGTGGCATGGTGTGTCCTACCTGTAAATATCTCAAATAGTAGAAGTAAAGAAAGTGAGTGTGTTACATTACAATAGTAAAGTTATTTTCTGCGTGGCGAAGGCAATATATACTAATTATTAAAATTCAAAAATTAAGAGAAAAGTGACTAAGCTTTACCACAAGAGCTGAAATGTCTCTCCCATATAGGGTGTTTCATTAAGACGGATCAAAGACAGCAGTAAATAAATGTTAATGGTGAAAATTTATTTATTTCTCTATTAGATCATGTTATTTAAGTCATGGCAACTATGTGTGAAAAATAATATCGCCCAAATTTCAGCCAAGGCTTCGGCTGCACACCTCCACTCGATGGTGAAAATTTTTGATGACGTCTCTGCATAGATTCTCTTCGATCTTACCAATATGCATTATTATCTCATCCTTCCGCTGTTTATTTGTTGTTAGCTTGTTGACATAAAAATTTCATTTGAGATGAGCCCAAAGGAAGGAATCTAAAGGCATCATGTCGCACGATCGTGGTAGCCAATTCACTTCGCTGTTTCGAGAGATGATGCGACCCTGGAACTACTCATTACATTTCTCTTTCAACGTCCATTTTTGTAATATGCTTCAATAACTTTAACACGTTGTTTGATTGTTAAATGTTTCCATGATTGAAATTGCCGAAGTCTTAAGTTGTTAAAACTGAAAGAAAAAAAGAAAAATAATTAGACGCTTAAACTTAATTCACATTTAAAATCGGTTCAAGTTATTGGAACAACCTTCATTATTTTTCTTTAGACATTAACAATACTTTAAGAATAACAGTGACTTTTTCTGATTCATGTCATACTATTTAACCTATAGCTAATGGGAAGAGATTAGTTCATAACTTTCCCAAGGTTATTTGCAGGTAAGCGAATGTAAGGAATCTGACTGGAATTCGAAATCGGCTCTCTGATTTATCATCTCGAGGCACTCCCCATTGCACACCCCTCACATTTATTTTAGATGAATCCGGTCCGTTGGCGTCCTAAAAATGCCTTATCCAGGTCAGGAGTATCTCCAATTTGTATGCAAACGTTTCCTTTTTGTTTCACCTTCTAAGTTGTTTTGCTCTGTTGATATATGTGATATATTGTTTTCTGTGTGGTTTTATTTGTGCGTAGTACTATATAAATCTCTCTGAGAAAAAAAAAATGATTGCCATTCTTTTTCCTTGCTGCCTTTTCTTTCAGTTCGTGAAATATCGGTGTTATTATGTCACAGACATAATGCCGATAACGGAAGAAGCATAAAAGGGAGAATAAATCTTTTTTTCTAGTTCTTCTCTCTTTACATGCTTAAAAGTGGAACGGACATTAATTTTTATGACTATACTAGATTTATCAGACAATTCAGCCCGAAAACCGATTAGAAACATAGGCTAACACTTTATATAAAGGATTACCCACCGCAGCGAATGCATTAATTAAATTTCAGCAGAGCCTCGTTCCTGCAAAAATTTTGAATTCCAACTTAGGAAATGATGAATCAGATTTTGACATTGTTGATTGATTGATTTGTTTTTAGGGCTTATAAACCCTTTGCGGGTTATTTAAAGCCAGAAAATGCTTTTAGATTGTAAGAATTCTTTTTAGATAAAATGGTTTTAGTGATAAAAATCTTATTAATTAACCAATACTTGGGGGAGAAGATGTGGATTCATACCTTTCCCTAGGGTACTTGCCCGTTACTGAATATCATGAAACGACTGAAAATGGAACACGTCTCTCCAATTTACAATTCTGAACTGTTACCTATTACACGACCTGCATATCCAAGCTTACAATAACTGACATTCCCAAGTGGTGACCCATCTAGATACTAAGCAGGCCCAGTGTTGCTTTGGTGATTTTAGTCGATCTGTAGTATTTTTTTTATATAGGTATAACTCTTTCCTTCATTGAATAAATGACACCCTTCGCCTGTCCACCTGTGCGGATTTTTTTTTTTGAGAAAGGAGGGACACCTGTTTTATTCAATCCAAATCTTGATGTGAAAATACGGCAATCTTGGACCATCGGTCCCGCCAAAAACAGAGTGTCAAAAGTTGGTTGCTATCATTTTAATTACCTTCACTTCTCGCAAGTTTAATACTTTAATAAAATTGAAACATACAACGACAGTGAATTTATACATATTTTCTTCTTGAAAATTTACAACAAAAAATATTAAGCACTTTTTACTCAAGAGGCCCTCGAATCTGTAGCCCCCGATTTCTGTTTGAGGAAGAGAATACATAGAAAACACTTCCAAACTCCTCCAATACCCGAATTATTTCCTGTAAAATGCTAAATGCAAAGCCTACAAATTCCACAAATAATAATAAACACTATGTCCCAACTCTATAACAGACACAGTAGAAAATAACTTATCCAAGATTCATAAATACAGGCTCTAAACGAATAAGAGATATAGTTAACAAGAAACGAGATATCAAAGTCAACACGAAAATGGCAGGAAAATACAAAATAGATGGTATAAAATGGCAGATGATGACATCGGTAAAACATAGAGAAGACTAAAAAAAGACTCGTGTTATGCTATATAAAAACATTTTAAACGCAACTGTAGTGCCCAGAAAGCAAAACCATCAAAACACATCTAACCCCAATTTCAATTTAATAAATGCCAATCTGACCAGAAGAGAAACGTATTGACTAAGAAGAAAATGTATTGAGTTTGTGCTTATTTCACAATTCTCGATAATAAAACATAGACCAGGACCATACATAATATCACCGATCATTGCAAAAGCAAACGTAGCACAATCCTGCATACGATCTAATAGAGAAACACAAATATAGTCGGAGTGGATATACACACGCGCGCGCACACACACACACACACACACACACACACACACACATATATATATATATTAATGATAAAGACCCATTTTTACTCACAGGTGCTGGATATATAATATCGCATGCTGAATGCTGGTGTTAATGCTATAGTGCTCGATATAAAGTAACAGGGCTATACATTAATTTAGAGCAGTCATTACATATCAAGGATTCTTTTATAGACACCATCACTCAACATGCGATATTACATATATATATATATATATATATATATATATATATATATATATATATATATATATATACAGAGAGAGAGAGAGAGAGAGAGAGAGAGAGAGAGAGAGAGAGAGTTGTGCCTGTCTAATAGAGCAGTTATCCAATCCCTTTTTGCAGATGTATGATCAGGTACATCTGTGTCTGTTCAACTCCCACAGAGACAACGGTTGGTTTATACTGCAAGTGGATCATAGTTACAGTTTTATATATTTCTGTTCGTGGGATCAGATAAGGTAATTTAATTTATTGCCCGACTTATCCTCAAAATCCTAATGCTTTTCTTTATACAGTTTTGTCTTTTATTCCAACTTGAATAAGGCGAGCTTTACAAACATCAGCGAAACGCATCATTAAGAACCTTTTATACTTTCTCTCATTAGGCGATAATGAGAGAAAGTATAAAAGGTTCTATATATATATGTAGTATGACTTCAAGCAAGGAAGAAATGCCGCTAAAACGCAAGGGGTCACAAGGTTTGGAAGAATTAAGAATAGAAACAATAATGAAGGGTAAAATAGCAAGGAGCAATCAGCTGGACAATAGACAACGATTTACATTGCATTTAACTTTTTGCAGATGAAAGTTTCCTGGAAATCATGGAGGTGGAAGGGATTTCTACCAGAGAAAATTGCGAAAGAAGAAGCTGTTAACGTAGATTTTATGGCTACATCTATCCAGCTCATCGGTAAATTGATGAAATCTCGACGATAGTTTAGTGCTGCGCTAAAAAAAACCCAAAAAAACTTTTGGTACTAAAGCGAGCAGCTCATCCGAACAATTACCATGAAAGTATTTATAGAAAAAACAACGAGAGGCAACCTTACGGCTGTAGGAAGGTGACCAATAATATTGCTGATTCTGTCTATATTTCTCAGATGATGTATTATGTACACTATTTGCATTGTTCGGACTATCGTCCTCATGTTTCCTGCCATATTTATCACAAAGTTTCGGCAGTTTTACGGCCGGCTTTCTTCAGGTGGTTGTAATGTCGAACTGAACCCTTTATTTCGCTCGCAGTTAAGGCAGTGGAGAACATGGAGAGGGAAATTAACAAGACATGAGTGATAACTGATATCCATTAGACATGCCACTTGGAAGTGGAACAGTCTAACCCAAGGAGCGAAATAAAATGGAAAGCAATGAGTCATTTTAGCTGATGGAAGGCAATGAGCCACTTACACTGATGGAAGGCAATGAGTCATTTTCACTGATAGAAGACAATTTGCCACTTTCACTAATAGAAGGCAATGATTCATTTTTATTGATGGAAAGCAATTAGCTACTTTCACTGATGGAAGGAAATGAGACTCACATATGGAAGGCAATGAGTCACTTTCACTGATGGAAGGCAATAAGTAATTTTCACTGATGGAAAAAAATGAGCCACTTCACAGATGGAAAGCAACTTGCCGCTTTCACTAATGAAGGGCGATGAGTCATTTTCACTGATGGTAGGCAATGAGTTACTTTCACTGATGGAAGGCAATGAGTCACTTAAAGTGATGGAAGGCAATGTGTCACTTAAAGTGATGGAAGGCAATGATCCACTTTCACTGATGGAAGGCAATGAGCGACTTTAACTGATGGAAGGCAATGAGTCACTTTCACTGATGGAAGGCAATGATCCACTTTCACTGATGGAAGGCAATGAGCGACTTTAACTGATGGAAGGCAATGAGTCACTTTCACTGATGCAAGGCAATGGGCCACTTTCACTGATGGAAGGCAATCAGATGTAGAGAGGTTTATTTTTGGAGGCGTTAAAATTAACAAGCCATTCTTTGCCCTAGGTAACTTGATGTTTCCATATCGGCTGCCATTCTGACCATGTCGGACTGATAATGCTTACTGTCGAGGCAGGAGTAAATTTTTCTGTCATCAACGTAGATACCAAATTGAGAGCTAATGTCGCTAGGGAGGTCTTTAATTCAAAAATAAAAATAGAGTAGGGCCGGATATGGATCTCAGGGGTGCACCTCCGTTAGTAGTCGTGGTCGTTCAGGATAACAGTTATTTCACGATTTAAGAGGAATATTGTATTTGTTAAAAATATTGTCCGGAGTCACCGGAACTTTTCAACTTATGGATAAGCCCTGAATGCCAGACCCTGACAAAGGCTTTCGAGATGTTCAATGCTACACCCCGGGATTCATCGTTTTTATTTTGGGCATGATGTCAGTACATCAGCAGTTGACCTGGAAAAACTAAAGCTATATTGCTTGTCAGAGAAAAGGCCTTGTGGAGACAGACAGTAAAGCAAGTCAGCATTGATTAGAGCCTCTAGGAATTTCCCCAAAAGGGGTAGAAGGCTAATAGCTCGATAGTTGGAAGACTCGGACGGCCCTCCAGTGTTCATAAAACCTGGAACAACAGTTGACTTCTAGCAGGCAGGAAAGCAGGAGGCAGCGAGACATTTATTATACAGTTTAAAGAGAACAGAGGTCACTTTGGGAGTACACTTCTTGACAGATACCATAGGGTCCATATGATTTGTGGGGATTTAGGTTAGAGATTATAGCAGAAACTATGGAAGAGGTTACGTGCATATTAATAAAAAGCGACTAAGCTCTAGGAGGAAAGCTAGGCAGGGATATATATATATATATATATATATATATATATATATATATATATATATATGTGTGTGTGTGTGTGTGTGTGAAGGAGCGGATTTAAAATATTGACCAGGTAAGAATTCAAATAGTTGGTAATCAATGATTTGGTGGAGAAATTCTTGACGTCCTGTAAGATTCAGCATTTTCCACTTAACTTTTGAGTCGTAACGTCATGCCACTAAAATAAAAAATAGCAGAAAAAAGAAAAGTAAATGTAAATAATCTTCGAAATTTAACAGTAAATCCAATAAAAAGCATCTATAAAGGATGAGATGAAAAGCCATTTACTCATGTTAGTCTGAATTAAAATCATAAATTTCTATTATAATTCAAAAGGATTGTCATCATATTTAAAAAGAAATATTTCAAAATTTAAAATATTTAATTGTCTTTCGCCTGAGTGAAACAAAAAACACTCTAGAAATGTATATACATCTCAACAGTATACAATTATTCAATATAGTCTTTCTTTTTTACGTGTAAGCTGACTTTAAAATGTATAATAACAGGCTTATGTATTCTTTAGTGTAAAAAGCAAATTAAACCAAACAAAGCTGATTTGCTACCACAAAGAAGCCAGACATTGAGAGAGTAACACTTGGGTGTTTACAGGAAATAAGGCCAAATGGCTTCTTTTAGAACCGGAATTCACTCGAATACTGAGTTATATGTTAATGAAAGAAAGACAAAATGTCTTTTAAAAGGAAACTTTCAAAGATGGACTGGAATACAAGAGAAAAATAATTCCAAAAATAAAAATAGTGCAATGAAAATCAATATTTATTAAGAATACGCTACATGTTCAAATAGAATATACGAAGGTAAATATTTTTAGATTTTTACAATAGAAAAAAATACATAAATAATATCTGCTAAATTATCATGTACGCAAAATAATCTAAACGGCCGTAAATGAATTTCCCTAAACCTTTTCTATAAATATTTCCATTCTAATTGTTCTGATATCTCGTTGATACCAAGATTTTATGAATTTACGCGTAGTATTAGATTACAGAGAAGTTCTCATCAAATTTCAGTTGAAATGGCTAGATGTAATCGTAAGTTCTGAGCTAACAATTGGCATTAATCGTGCGTGGAACTCTCTCCTGGCTTCTTGCTTCCTCTGCAACATTGAACTTAAACGTTTAAACGCAATGTCAATCGTTATCTTCTATCTTCTTAATTCCTGTGCTTTTCTTGTCTACACCCTTTATTAATATCTGCTTTTCTCGTAATATATCAACTTCAGTAAGTCCTTGCGTTTTAGTGTCTTTATTGCTTTCCTTGGAGTGAAATCATTATAAATACATATGAAAAATATCTTAAACTATTGACAACGAAATCAATACTTGCCACAAACATCGAATACTAATATTTTTATTATGAATGTAGGAGCTTTAATAAACCCCAAATTTTATCAGCTCCATTTTTTTCAATAGGTATCACACCATGCAAGGCAGTAAAGTCCCTAAGACACAAGGGTTTACAGGGAATGGAAGAATTAGGATCAGAAACATTAATAATGAGCTGGAAGAAAAAAAGAGTAATCATGACGAGAGTAGATAGCAATTGATATTACATTTAAATTTTTGCAGATTAAAGTTGGCTGGAAAGCATGCAGCCGGAAGTGAGAGAAAAGAAAATGGTAGCATAGAATTTACGGCTACATCTAGCCAGCTCAACTGTAAATCAATGAGATCTCGACGCCAGTCAAGTAACGCGCTTAAATTAAAACAATTCTAGGTACCATAACGGAGAGTGATATTTATTCTCCTATGTACAAAAATACGGCACAAGACCAAAATGGGGGCTGGGATAAAGGACGGTCTTCTGTGTTCTTCTTAAACTTAGCTAACCACAAACACTGACCCAAACATACAACAATGTTCCTTACACCATAATGTAACTGCTATTTCATTATTACTATACTATTTATATACATTTTAAATTGAGGTGCTTGAAAACACCAGTGTACTAACGCTGTAACAGTTCCCCACCACCGCACCCCATTACTAATTGAGAGTTAAAGAATGTGTCCCGGATTTATTTATATATGGAGAAAACCTCCATCAAAGTGATTCGTTGAAACATATGGGGACTAGTTAGGGATTTCCTAGAGACTATGAGGTATTATGGTGGATGACTGTTATCAGAATACACAGTGGGGTGGTTACCTGTTGCTTTCCTCGTGCTTTTGAATTCAGAGCTCTTCTTTCCTTAGAATGGCTATCACCGAAGATTTTCAAACTCAGCCCTGATATATAATACGCAAAATTGATAATATTGATTTTCTTTTATTTATTATCAATTAGTTTCACTAAAACTAACTGAGCTGTAGTCTTGAACTAATATGTAAATTGATAATTAATAAAAGAGAATTTATATTACTACATCATTTTAAAAAATAACATTAATAACTCCTGTAAAAGTATTTGACCTCGAGTGAAAAATGAAAATGTAAATTAGGCCATTACAACAGATATTCTTCTATGTACCGTGTCCAATTCCTGCCTTTGGCAACTCTTAATACATTTTACCTTTTATCCCTAAACCCAGATCTGTCACCCATCAAGCTCGGTAGGTAGGCGTGTGTTCCGCTATCTTTCTTCAAATCCAAACTAGTACCTCGCTTAAATTTATAAAGTCAAGGTACCACAGCGAAAAGCTCAGACGAATAATTACCATAAAAATATTTATAAAAAAGCCACATAGAAGTGCATTACACCGGTGGGGAAAGTGACTGAAGCTGATACGCCAGGTTAGGGCCTATAATATTGCTGGTTCTTTTTTTGATTTTATTAAGAATTTTCCATTTTCTATTAAACTTTGTTGCTCACATGATTGGTGCACCATGCATACTTCTTATATACTTTGTCTGTTGAAATGCGCAAATTTAAAATGCTTATACAAATTACTTTTATTTTGATTTGAAATCATGTCAAAAAGCAAATAGGATTTCGAAAAAAGAAATTGGTTTGGGATTATCCATGGAAGTTTATAAGAATATTTCAAATATATTTAAAAGAAATGGAAATTAATTGGTACCGTATGAACTCTTTCATGAACGAATTATCCAATAAAGTTACTAAATGAAGATAATTCCAAGGAATGTTTCAGTCAAGAAAGCAATTTTAAGCAGTTCATTTTTTTAATGGCATTATTTCTTCTATAAATAAATTAAATTACGGCGAATGCAGATTAACGGAAGCCAAATTTTCAACAATAACATAGACGATCACTAGCCCAGTTCTACAGGGGGAAAATCCGCGAAAAGAAACTGTTAGCAAAGAACTTTACATCTGGCCATTTCAAGTGTAAAATGATGAGATCTTGGAGCCAATGTAGTACTGCACTTAAAATTCTTAAAGTCTAGGTACGATAGAGAGTTAATATAAATGGAAATAAATTCGTACCGTATGACGAATTTCAGTAATGAAACTATCTATAGAAAAAGCACAAGGAAGATACATTAGGCGATGAAAAAGTGACTGAAGTCGATATGTCAGGATATCAGGACATCTTCATTGGATTTTGTTAAGAAATTCTAAGTATATAGCAGGAGCACCAAATCATATATGGCAGGAGCACCAAATCATATATGGCAGCAGCATTCGAAGCATGGACGAATGGTAAATAAGTACATAAGATGAACACAAAAAATCGCTATTTCGAAAACACCTCGCGAGTCACACATATTGGTATGAATTCATGGACTTATAAATATAGATGATAGATTCTGGTGAAAAAATTGTCTCGCATGTGTACGAATTAAATATCACTTCATAGTAATAAAAATAATAATGGGCTTGTGGAGAATGAGAACCGGGTTCGAATCTCACCATGGTCGATTTTTCAGGAAAGAGACTTCCTGATGTTATCAGATTGGTCAATCCCAGCGTGCGACACTTTTGGGAAGTGCCTGAAAACCATACCACGGTTGTGAGCGAAATTGTGTATACAGAACCTTTGGGTGCTGTCGATAGCTGTGCTAGCACGAAGTCACAAGTCATCGTGGTCGAGGGCTTGACAGTGCTAGCCTTGTTCAAATTGTTGATCACGCTAGATAACACGCTCTTTCCCAGAAAGCTCAGAATAGTTGCACTATAAACCACAGGTGGTCTTTGTGGACGTTGAATAAACACAAATGCGCCTGAGCAAGCGTCCGAAATAAGGATTAGCTAGCCGCCCTTGTAGACGGGTTTCCTCGAATACGAGTGGCCAACTGTACATATACAATAATAATAACTAGCCAAATTCCCGTCTTATGAACATCAGTCTTAATAATGTTTTTAAAATAATTTATTCATTTATGGTAACTGGAAGATTTGGCGATTGCCTCATTCGATTTCCCTCGTTTGGTATTGTGCACATAAAAATGTCGCTTTTATCACCGTCGCCAATGCTTCTCGACCTTTTGACTAGGGTTAAAGTGTAGTATATGTTCTTTGGTGGATATGCTAGATTTCATCTCTCAGTTGTGTCTCTGCTTTCGGACAGAGCGCAACTCAGTTTTGTCTCTGTCTGCGAAAAAAGTACAACTGAAAATATCATTGGGAGATGTTCATTGCATTAAAGAGGGGGAGATCGGTAGTAATACATATGCTAGCGTAACCGACGTTTACAGGGGTTGGGCTATTTTGGGATCTAGCCCGGGTACCCGCTCTCTGGCTCCCCACATGAAACTGACATTTTGTCACATTCTGCCAGTGTATAGTGACAAGAAAATACAATCGCTTCACGGCGTTTTGGTTAAGACCAATGATTAATATCTATTTTTATCAAATTCTTTATTTCTTTCTTTCACTGAAACAAATTAATGCAGAATTCACTTCGTTAACAGACTTAATAAAGTATTAACTTACTAACAAATCGTTAAATGATTTGGCGTAGCTACATTGCAAGCTCCAAAATTTTGTAACTGCTAATAATAACACACTTAAAAAAATCTTTCAACCTGTATTACATTTATTTTCGTCTCTGGAGTTACCTGAAATTACCTGAAAATGAAAAAAATACCTAAAGATGATAAAAGCATTAATCGAAAGCACTTGCAAATGAACTGAACATCTAATCCATTTTACAATTTTTAAAAACAAAGATCACGTCATTCAACGAGTGGCTAGTAAGTTAATGCTTTATTAGATCTGTTAGCGAACATTAATTACATTAACTTTACTGATTTATTCCTTGCATGGCTACTTCTTTGTAATATTAATTATACTGCACTATTTAATATCTATCTATCTATCTATCTATCTATCTATCTCTATCTATCTATCTATATCATTACTCAAGATGCAAGTGGTCTTAATAGAAGCACGATTTTATTCTATAATTCAGAAGAAATAAAGAAAGTATAATATTACTACATAATACATCAATTTTAAAACCAAGAGGAAAGAATTAACAGCTGAGGAATTTCATGAGACACCATAGGTCCCCATAATACCCTAAAAATGTAAGAAAAGCAACTTTACGATTTAAGCACTAGTTAATTAATAACAAAGCAGAGACACAAGTACACCTGTGCCTGTGTATATGTGCTTGTATATGTATACATGCACAAGTATGTATATATATATAAACAAAACACAACACACACACACACACACACACACACACATATATATATATATATATATATATATATATATATATATATATATATATATATCCCTATATGAATGTATGCGTGTATGAGTAAGCGTTAAATACTAGCATATACACATTCAAACAATAATGAATAAAAATTTAACTATAAACCTAAGCTCCTACAATTAATACTTTAAATACTTAACATATCGACAAACCAAATCAGAAAACGAAATAATACCCACATGAAGACATATAAAAATATTTATCATTGAAGTATCATTTATGTAAAAAAGAAAATACAATTTTCCTAACTCAAGAAAAGACTAGGACGCTAAAAAATTAAAAACTATAACATGTCTAGAAAAAAAACAACAACAAAAAAAAAAACAAACAAATAAATAGCAACAGATAGCCGCAACTGAAAGAAAAGAAGAAAATGAAAAGAAAAAGAAAAGGCTAAGGAGTAAGTGTAAAGTGGAGAAAAAAAAAAACGAAAAAAAAGACAAATAATCAGGTCACTCCACATGCAAGCACATCCGCGCAGAGGGAACCCATATCCGCATAGACGGGCGCACGGGCGCCAATGCACACCTGCGCACAAACAATACAGAAAAAAACAAACTGATAAGTGCATAAAAACTAAATTGAGAAATATAAGCAGTCAGTTACCGATTCACCCTGAAGAGTGGATGAACGGGTCCGTCTACGAAACTCAGGAATTGGGATACTGAAGCTAACATCAGTCAGTTAAGTGACAAACTTCTACTATATATATATATATATATATATATATATATATATATATAGAGAGAGAGAGAGAGAGAGAGAGAGAGAGACAGACAGATAGATAGAGAGGATGGAGGGAGAGAGAGAGAGAGAAATTGCAATTGGAAACTTAGCCTTTTACCTGGAATCACACTTACACCATCGATCGGTTACTAATTTCACTCACAAAGGAGACAACCAGTTCATAATGCATTTTATTATTTTCCCGATAAATAAATAAAATGAAAAAAAATTGAGAGAATCGAAAGGAAGGAAAACGAATTGGAAAAAGAGGACAGAGATAGAGAGAGAGAGAGAGAGAGAGAGAGACATACAGAGAGACCGAGAGCGAGAGGGAAGAGAGTAGGAAGAGAGAGAGAGTGGGGGCGGTAGAAATACTGAATCTAGCATAAAGACGTTGGCTGTTTGACTAGACAAAATCGGTTGTTATGACAATTCGAAAATGTTTGCTTTATCCAGCGATGCATGGAATAATAAAACATACCTCGCCGTCTTCTTCTTGGCAAATAACACGTTTACCTAGAAACAAAGAAGATAGTTTCAAGTTCTTGATCAGTCAGCGTTAATGAAAATCTAACTAGTTTGTTATTTTCGACGTTTCTTTAGTCGTAGTCTTTTCCCGGCGACGAAATCAGTTTGGATTGTTCCTTTCAGATTTTATTTTTTCACACGTTGTGTAGACGAATAATATTAAAGGAACAAAAGAGAATTAAAGGAAGGTATATAATCTTTTTAATAATTTCACTAAGGTCTATATTCTTTTTAATAATTTCACTACGGTATATATTCTTTTTAATAATTTCACCAATTTCTAATATTTTGCAAATAACTGCAAGGCGATAATGCCACCAAGATGCAAGCGGTTACTGGGAGTGAAATAGAATGAGAAGTCTTTACAGGGAACCGGAAACCCAATCCTAAACAGGAAACAAGGGATAAACATCTACTCTCGTTCAATAGACGGGAAGGAATATAAACCAGGGAATGAGGTAGCCGGTATTTTTAATTCTTATAGACCCTGAACATACTGAAAAATTATATCTCTTGTTATATATACATGTATAATAATAATGATAAAATAATAATAATAATAAAACCACTGAGATATAGTATGAGCAATAACCAAACACAGTTATCCAAAATAATGATGTAACTATCCTCTGGGACATACCTATTCAAACTGACAGGGAAATAAAAGCCAACAGACCTGATATTATCATAAAAGACAAGGAAGTGTATGCTTATTGACATTGCAGTACCAGCTGAGGGAAACACCTCCATGAAAATTATTGAGAAATTGTCGAATGTTTCATTATAAGGAAACGTCTAACATTACCAGAGACATTACACAAATAAACACTAATATTATTCATAATTTTTTTTTGTCTTTTTGTCAACTTTGTGACTGGCGCTACAGAATCACAAAGAAAGAACTGTACCAAATAACATCATTTGAGGACTTTTAAAAGCAGATCAACTAAAATTAATAGCACTTGTAACTCAAAGAGAAATGACAGAATCAAGACCGAAAGTGTGGAACAACTAGTGAGGATCAAACTCCCTACTCAGTCGTAATTGTTCTAGCGAGACAAACTTGCTAATCATTACACCTTGTCGACACAAATCAATGGTTTCACAGTAAAATTGATACTTACCAATAGATGTTTGGTAAATGTTCGAAATGTATTCATGTGAACAATATATTATATGAGTTTAAGCTTATAATACATATTCTTATAAAAATAATTTTAATAACTTGTTTTGGTTTATCCGCTTTTATTATGGAAACAAAGGGCAAAAATATTTAATTATCAATAAATCCAAAACGAAAAGTACTTGAATAAATTATCATTTTATTATTTTCCATATTTCATCGGCTCCTTGACATTCTATAACCTTTACTTTCTTCCAAATGTTGATTTTTTTGTACTTTTCTATTGTTTAAAACTTGTAGTTTATTTAACATTATGGGGAGCATTTATTACTTTCTAGATGTTTTTTTTCTTACTTGAATATTGTTTTACATTCTCATACATATGTCTTTAAATGAGATATGTAGATACATTCAAAATCCAAAGTTACCTCATTCGAAAATAGCTATTTCGACCCACAACATTTTTACTTGTAGGTCTTGTCAACTCAGAGATATAGAGCATTATGTGGCATTTATATTTACGTTTCTATTGGATTACTTTTGTGGTTATGATAACCTTTTTTTATCAAGGTGAGTGATAGTCATTTTAAATCTTCTCTGTTATGATTTATAGAATTCAAAAAAGATCTTGTCTACGATAATACGTTGCGTTTGAAATCACCAATAAATTTAAAGGGGTCTATAATTTTGCCATCTACACAGCCAACATCAAACATTAGTTCTCATCTTCACGGTTGTATTCTAAATTATCTTTGTTGATGATTTTCTTGAAGGGCCCAACACCTATCCCAGCCATCAGATTTATCCAATGTAGCTCCATATTCATTACAAAAAATAACTCTTTTACCCAACGTATGCACCTATCTCTGTGATATTTACCTAAAAAGTGTTAGTTTTGTTACTTTCATGTCTATCTTTCATCTTTTCTATTTGTTTACATTCGCGATTGCATTTTCTGATATTTTCTTGCTCGTCAATCCAACTTCCTGCGTATTATTTGTTTAAGCTTTCTAAAATCTCTTTTTGCATCATTCTTAAAGCTAAGTTCTTTTTTTCTGGTTTATATCTTGTTAATATCTTCAATTCATTCTTTGATCATTCCATGATTTCTGTCCATCTTTATCGCCATTTTGAATATTGTGTTTCTATCCTTTAATAACATTATTTTGATGATACACAACTCATGGCATTCTTTCTATATCAGGAAATAAAAAATACAGATACCAATATAAAATCTATTAGAAATTTGTATTTACAAGATGATGAACAACACGTCAGTGGCATAAAATTTCACATTACCAAATAAGTTATAAGATCAGATATTAGCATATGATCAGATATTACAAGATGTATATATTAAAAATAAATTGAGTACTATGGCTGCCTGGAGTTTGTTTACATTCGTAAATAATAATACGCTAGAATTTCCCTTTTCTCTCTGATAGCTGATAGTTCAGGAGTAGAAACTCCGACTGACGCCAAATCGGTCGGGTTCGATCCCAATTAGTCGCACTGATGATTTTTGATACAGCAAAACAGGTCTGTATGTGGATGACATTATATATATATATATATATATATATATATATATATATATATATATATATATATCCATGTATATAATTGGTATATAAGGAATGAATTCCAATAACCAACAATTACTATTCTTAAAAGAGTGCTCAATACAAAGTAGAGCAGATATAATTATTTTTTATAAAAAAAAATTTATAACATAAGTATGTTATAAAATCACTACAAAAATAGCCATTTTGTTTCAACACACTCTGTGTCTTATCAAGTGTTAATGTTGAAAATAAAATAAATGGTTTTAAAAGTTTCAGATTAATTAACGATCCTACACTAGGGGAAACATTGTCACAAAAGCTCGAATAACCAATCAAAAACGAAGAAATAGAAAGTTTCAATACGACACAAGGTCAGATTTGATTACAATAAACAAAAGGAAAGTGGGTAAGAATCGGTAAACAAATATTGATATTACGAAAAAATGGTCTGGGCGTTATTGGGTAGAAACTTAAATTTAAAGGTGATTTCACACAAGATATATCGTTTTATGGGAAAACAGTGAAGGCTAGAGCATTCGATATGGATAGAACTTATAACTTGTTCGGAACAGATTTGATGCAACTGTTCACTTGATGGGATTTGCCCATAAATTCTTTTTTTAATAACGTTGATGGCACGTCTAGTAAGTCTTAAAGACAAAAAAGAATTGAAAATAATTTACCGGAAGTTTTTTCTTTTGAAGCGTTAAGAAGATACGCAAAAACTAAGTTCTAGTTAAAGGAAAATGCAGTGCCAGTTTTTAGACCATAGAGGAATATGCCTTTTTTTAGTTTTGGATATGATAAACAAGGAATCAGATCGATAGGATAATATGGGAGTGATCTCCAAAGTGGATTATAGCGATTTGGCTTCCACGATCGTCTACGTGAAAAAGTGAAATAAAAAAATCTGTGTATGTGACGATTTCTCCACGGGGGCTGCGTGATTGTCTACTGGCTTACAATTACCAACCTCTGCCAAACCCATAAGAAATTTTCGCAAAGTTAAATGTCGGAAAGAATTTTTCAAATTTGGACTTGATAGACGCATATTTGCAAATCCAGGTAGACGAAGAATGTTTAAAACTGTTAACAGTTAATACCCACAAAGAATTATACACGTTTAACAGATTACCTTTCGAAATTAAGGTAGCAACTAGAACTTTTCAGCAAATAATGGACACAATGTCGAGCGATCTAAACTTCGCGATCGCCTTAGATATTCGGCACGGTGACACTATTTAGCTATGGTAATTGGCTAACTAATTAACCATAGAAATTAAAAAATCGGGAAACACTTAAGACGAGAAAGATCTATACCGAAAGAGAGACTGAGCGACATTAAAAAAAAGAATAATTTATTTTATTTACAAAAGGAAGATACTTTTCGCAAAAGACAGAAAATCAGTAAGAAAAGGCGAGACTGTGATTCTGTCAAATTAATTAATGTCACGATAATGAGGTGACGCGTCAAACGAAACAGAATTCTAAAAGATAAACAAAGCCGGCCGGCCGGCGCATGCGACCGTGGAGGAAATTAGGCTTGGGACCACCCTGAAGAATAGCCCTTAATTATCTTTCAGAGATATCATTTAATTTTGGTTCTTGGGTCCAGCGAAGAGACCCATCTGTTGTATGTACGAAGCTTGGCATGAGAAAGGAAATCGCGGATGAATGTGTTATTATTGTTTTTTTCCAACTATTGACGTCAGACGCAGTGTCGTCGAAAATAGGCATCTGGTGATAAGATAAATTTAAGACATGAGAAAAATAAAGAATTTAATTATCAGGTAAACACTACCACCCGGTTAAAAGTTGGCTAAAATGGATCTGGAAAGTGATAAGGAATTGAATGGCAATCTGGGAATTGTAAATGTTTTGGCCGAAGGAAAAGTAAAAAGAAAAGAAAAAAAGGATTTTGTAAACATGAGGGCCAGTCTAGTCACACCCACACTGCCGGGAGATCATTTGCTAATAGGCTGTGGTGAATGTAGGAGAAAGACGGAGAAGTTGTTAACACCCATTGAGGGGATTGGTATGAGATACCAATCTGAGAGAGGAAGAGTTTAGGAGGATAACTCTCCTGCGACCTCCCCTCACGGACGAGGGAGGAACCCCGAAGTGGAAAGTGATTATTCTTCCAAAAATGGAAAATAACTAATTTTCCTGGC